GCCGCAAACCTGACTGGACCCGCGACCCGACGGTATATAGACTGCCGCTGCCGTCCTCGCGTCAAATTTTTCTGTTCTTCAGCAAGCCTGCGAAACCAAGAGCTGTCTATTATTGTTGTTTGTTGTTTTTCTTCTACTTTTTTACTATTCCCCTACTATTCACTAATTCACCCCACAAGAGTCTGGCACTCTTCCCCCATCATACGGCACTTTACGACTAAAACGCAAAAATTCTAATCCAACCCAACATCGACCTAATTACCATTTTCTGTCGCTGGACGACTTCAACAACATTCCGCATAATTCCATCTAATAGCAGCTCTTCTTGCTCGAAGCAAATCCAAAAGTTTCCAAATCCGTCATTGACAAAACTCGACAACCAAAATGGCCGCGATCCAGCTCAACTTCACCCTCCGCACATCTGCCAACTGCAAGACAGTTCACTTGCTCGGTTCTTGGGACAATTATAACGGACAACTACCTCTCTCCAAGGACGCCACCAAGACTGGTGGATGGAAAGGAACGTTCCGCTTTCAGGGCGCGACACTCAAACAAGGCCAACGATACTGGTACTACTACATCATCGACGGCTATCACGTTTCGCATGACCCAGCCCGAGAATTCACCACGGAACCGACCACTGGCCGCAAACTCAACATTCTCGACATTCCCGGCGGCAGGACATCGACTAGCAGTAGTACACACCACTCGACTTCAAAGCGTCATTCGCGTCACAGCTCCATCGACGTGGCCAAAGGACGCTCGCTTTCGCCCTCGCAAATCAAATCACCGCGTCCGGTCAAGCCTGGTCAAGTACGCCAAATCGTCAACGGAACGTACGAGCCAGCAACTGTCGAAGCGCTCACGTCACGCTTCACCCGGACAACTATTGCCGAGAGCGACGAGGACGATTACGACGACAGCGACATCGACTCAGACGTGCCTTCGCTCACGTCCCGCAGCAGCCGCAGCAGCAACTCGAGTTCCCCGAGCAGCGTGTCCAGTACCAGCTCTTGCTGTACATGCGAAAGATACGGCATCACACGTTCAGGGGATCGAGTCAAACTCGACTGCGGCGGCTCACGCTGTGGCTACTCGGACGAGAGTTCGGAATGTTCGTCATCGGACGACGAGGGATATCGCGCCCGCACCACGCGCCGACAGGGCATCGTTATGCGTCGGTAGACAACGAAGCCCGATGTGGTGCGGGCAGAATCTCTTGCTTCGGCTGCACCTCGTCGCTTCGACAACATCCCGTCTGACATCTTCCACTCTCACGATTCGCTGTGTGTCTTGCTGCTACTGCTTCTTTTCGTCGCTGTCGCTACCACATGTGTTTGTTCGACCTTTTCCCCGTTTCCTGCAGGCACTTACCTCGCAGACTCCGCACCAGCTGAGGAGAGAGGAGACAGGCCGAGGAGAAACAAAGCTGGATCCGCATTTCAATATGCGTGGATCTCCCTAATTCTTGACGACCACGACTGCCACCCATTATTTGGTCCCTGTCGGGTCGAGGACGGCGCTACCGCAGACCACCGATACCTGTGCGGACCCCACCAACGCGCCAGCAGGCTCTGGAGTGCGTGGGTGAGCTTCGCGCAGGTCGAACTCGGTGGTTTCGGTCGTCCTCTTTTTGCCGGTTGCATCATGCGTCTCAACCGCAGCAACCAGAGCATTTGATCACTGGCACCGCACTCGACGCCCCCTCCGACGTCGAGGCCCGCGGTGCGGAGGAGAAAGGCGTAGGATTTGAGGGCCCGGGAGGAGACATGACAGCGGGCTGGGGTACATGAGGCAGAATCAGACTACGGCTGGACACGCGCGAGCGAGCTGCACGGCGTTCGTGCGCCTGTTCCGGCGAGGAGAAGTGGAGGGCATGGAGGTATAGGCAGCGGTTCTTCTACGCGCGTTCCCCGCGTGGGACTTGGGAGGATCGCTCAATCAACTACGTACTGTCCATGCATGATGATGACGCCCTACTGCTTTGCCTGTCTGTTTGCCTTGTGCCGCTGTCTGTGCTTCAAACCTCACATCCCTGAGCCTACTGTACGCGTCGCCGTCGCGCTGGAGCCAGCGCGTGCGTGTCCACAATGCCTGCTTCTTCCCCGTCGCTGTGTCCCACTTGTCCATCCCCTGCGCAGCTCCTTCTGACCCCACTTTCCCGCAATCGCGCGTTGTTGCCGCGCAGCGCTTGCGTCACTGCGGGCGTCCCCTGCTCAGATCACCCATCGCACGTCTCAAGTCTGAACCTGTACTTGTGAGAAGTTCCACTCTTTCTTGCGCCGTATGGAGATGCACGCGCTAGCTTCATCATCAGAGCATAGACAGTAGGTCGCAGAAGAAATGGCGACTCCAAGGCGGCGCGGGATGAGTTTGAATGCTCCCTATAGTCACCTTTTTACAAGCTCAAACGTCCAAGTCTTTCGGAAGCAAGATGTTGATCACTCCCGGTGGACATGTATCCTGATTTTTAACTCACCAGATCACCAAGTCCAAGAAAACAACTACAAGGAGCATTTGGGCACCCCACACTGAAACTGCCAGTTCTTTTACAACACTCTGTGGCGGCTTCGCATCATGTCATGATGCCGTCCTCCGCTATCTCAGGCATCTTGGTTTACCGGTTTGCGAGTCCATCCACAGTAAATCCATGTCTTGCCAGAAAAGACACACTCCTCCCTCCCAAGTCGCGTATGGAAGAAGCGTGGGCGGTAGTGATCGATGGAACAAGGACGATCCCCTCCAGTGGTAAGATGGATGGAAGTGTTGGGAGGAACCAGCGACGGGAAGGGGGCGTTTTTTATAGGGCCAATCACGTGTGTCACGTGTCTGTATGGGGAAAAGGTCGTAATGAAAAGGGAGGAAGTGAGGGCTTGTGAGGAAGGGGTGCACATAACAGCAGGTGATGGGAGAAATTTACCCTATGCTCAGCAAAAAGTCGCCGCAGATTCAGACGCACGCGCTCGAATGCTCCTTGTAACTACGCATCAGAAGACAATTTTCTCCATGTTCATGGTATCAAAAGCTTGAAGACTCCATCTCTCTACGTGTTCTTAATTGGTGATAGAGGTCTGCCGCAGATTGGTTTGAGATGCTTCGATCGGGTTTGCACCATTCTGTGGAGAAAGTTGTCATTGCGCACAAATGCTGGGATTCACCATCACTTTAAGAGTCAGTAACACGAGAAATTCCACGTCAGGGGCCAGAGGCTGTAGGGAAAAGACGGCAGGAGAAGAGGGCAAGAGACAAAAGTGGCACGTCGTGTTTAGCCCTGACAGGCACCAAGTCAAGCATTCTCTTCTCCCATAGAGAGCGCCTTCAGTGTCTGTGGTGCTGATGAGAAAGGAGCTAAGTAGGAGAAGAGGGGAGTTTATATACCAGCAGCCCGTGTAGAAGTGGCCATGTGACTGAGAAGAGTCAGGGGGTCAGCTGAGTCAAGTAATACGCGGCGGACTGGGGCAGAAGTTCCCTAGGTGTCTTTCTACTCCGCCAACGTGATGAGAAATTTTGTGAGTACCAAGATCAATATGCATAAGTGCAGGCAGACACTTTCAGAGTACAGTGATGCAATTAGCTCAATGAGACTCGAGGCTATGAGGGAAAGGACGGTGAAGGGAACCGGCCCAGAAAAAAAAGTGAGGTCTCCGAGTTTGTTCGTCAGAAAGAAAGGCACCGAGTAAAGGCATCCGGATGTTGCATCCACGGGTTCGCGAACCTTGGTGTCTAAAGCGCTGGTGAGCAAGCTATAATGTCGTGACCAATGGAGTTTATATACCCACGGTCAGCAAGCAGAAAGAGTCACCGACACTAGTGCTGTAGCAGGTCAGGGGCTCAGGGGGTCAGGGTCATGTCGTGACCATGACAGCAGGTACAGCTGGAGCCTAGCGCTTCGTATCTATAAAAGGTCGACTACCCATGGCCAGGTCGTCTTTTCTTTACTAACTCGAGCGCGACGTTGTCTATGTGCCGACTGTTCGAGCACCGGGATCGACTTCGTTTCCGCCCTGTGTTATCGGGTTCCCATACTCGCGGGTGTTGCGCTTTCAATCCACAGCGCCTGTATTCAAGAGTTGATAGGAGTCAGTCACGAGCAGCATCATCGCCACTCTACGCTGCTTTACGGCAGTGCGTTCGAGCGTTGTGGTCAGCCAGCGCGATGAAGCATAAGAAAACGTACGTAGGATGCAAGAAAGAGAGACGAGCACAGCAGCCACAGTTCGCGATTCTCCGTTCGACGCAAACTCAAGGAGCAGGAGAAACAATTGTCTTCTTTTGTGTTGGCAGGTGGCTGCTCGCCCAAAGAATGCGGTGTCGATAGAACAATCCAAGCGTAGGAAGATCCAACGGGCTTTTATCCCCGCGGCCAGCAAGCTGGAAGTCACGCGTCCAGCGCCGCTGCCTGGAAGGACAGAGCACAGGGGTCAGGGGGTCGATGCGTGACGCTTTCGCAGCGTGACAGCAGCAGGTTGCGTCGCACCTGCGCCTTCCCCTTGCGATTTTGTCGACCAACTGTGCCTCTAACAATCTGCATGGACTGCACGCTAACACCAAAACTTGATTGCAGCTCCAACGACCGTCTGGACTCTTGCTGTCCATCAAACCACCACCTTTACTCTATCGACACGCACTTTTGCAACTCTTCTTGCCTGCGTCTCCAACCTGAACCATCAACACTGTCCACCATTACCTCAAAGCGCTTACCATAGTCTTATCTCCACAACATGCGGCGACGAGGAGAACTCACGAAGGTCAGATCATCGAACGAATGACTGGGAAAGAGAGGGCCAGCCGGCCGGCAGCATGCGGAGAAAAAAGTAGAAACTGCTGCGTGTCGACATTCGTGGCTCCTCTCACGCAGAGTCCAAGCTTCGCAAGACAAATGCAGCGATCAGGAGTCGAAGCAGCGGAACAGAGGCTTAAATACCCATCCCCCCTCTCCCCAACCCCTCACTTCTTACCTATCTCTATATTTCACAAAGCCAAGATCAAACTCAACAACGACCACGGTAGTGTAGTGGTAACACGCTATGTGCCGGTAGGTGGCAAACTTACTTACACACTTTGTGCGTTAGGCGTAAGAATCCTCCTTTAGGACTACATGTAGAGACCTGAGTTCAATTCTCAGCAGTGGCACTTTTTTGTCTTTTTGTTCTTTCTTTTTGTCGCCGTGCGCAGCGCGTGGCACGATAAGTCTGCCTATTGGCGTTCCTCACAACCTCGGCTGGGTGCAATAGACAGGCTATGGGATGGGCCTGGTAGCCTAGCCCACCGCGACACAGAGCTGCGGGCAAAGGACTGTTTGTAGGTAGGTAGCTATGTACGTGTATGTATGTAGGCTGATATTTACGATACTGTACTCGACTATACTAGACTATACGATGAAAATTTACTGCACTGCATGCACTTTACCTGCTCTCTCCCTCTTGCGCTGAGAAAGGGGCGAGCGAGCAAACAAGCGGGCAGGCAAGAAGGAAAACCAGACAGGCATATTTACATCTCCCATCACCAGCAGCAAACAGCAGGGCTAGCCACCTACCCAGCCGATAAGTAGCCAACCTGCCGTTCGGCCAATCATATCAACAAAGCAAAGCAGGAGCGAGGGGACTTTTCTTAAGTCAAACAACCGCAAAGGAAGTGGAGCAAGAAGCGAGACAACAGACTGTAAACGCAACGCTTCTGACAAAGATTCTGTGCGGTTTCCGGGTCTTGTGGTCTTTGAAGAACGATGAAGATGGAGCAAGGTGATGACGATGGCGGGGAAAGATGTATGAGGAGAGAAGAGGAGAGAAAGTGCCAAATGGCAGAGAAATAGATGGATGTGGGGGAAGAGGGGGAGAAGAAGAAACGAAGATTGAGCAGGCTCGAGCGGCCGCAGTAGCGCAGCGGGGGGTAAGCAGGTGGGAGAAGAGATGGGCGTTTTGTAGAGCGGCAGGCACGGCAGGCGGGAAAGCAGCTCAAACGTTCTGAGCAGCGCGATCCTCTGCGTTCTCGGCCTCGAGTTTCTCGATTTGCAGTTCTGCGAGTGCGTTAGCCACCAAATGCTCGTTCAAAGCCTTTGGCATCTCCCCAACCGCCAAAACATCCCAACCGGCTGAATCGTAAGGGACCGACTCACCATAATACGTCGAGACGGCCGAAAAAGCCGGCTGCACCAGCATAATCAACGAAAGGATCTCGCCAAAGCCAAACACATTGGTCGAGGGCAGATTCAAGCCGCACAGGCGGGGGCCGTCGTCGTCATCTGGACTGGGGGGCTCGGCAAACTTTTGCAAAAAGACAAAGGCGAGGCTGATGCTCACGAAGAAGAGCTGCTGCACAAACGCGAGGTGCAGGTCGCCAAACAGCACGAACCAAAAGGCAGCCGTGATGCCGCGGCCGGCCGACTCCATGGCGGAAGCGAGGCGCGGCGAGCGCTTGGAGAGGCGCTGGCGCAGGTGGAGGCGCGGCCGCAGCGGGGAGAGCGACATCCAGTGGCCGGCGGTGCGGATGCCGTGCTGGCTGAGGCGCTTGACGCCCTCGAAGACCTGGCAGAAGGCGACCCAGAAAGGATAGAAGACGAAGACAACGGTGAGGAAGTAGAAGATGATGTACGGGAGCGTGCTGGTGCAGTCAAAGTCGTCGCAGCTAAAAAGATGGTTCATGAGCCAGACGAGGGCCTGGTAGAAGGGCGGGAACGGCATGGTTATGATGATGGACGACGTCAGGAACAGCGCGTATAGGAAGATGAGCACCATGCGCAGCCGCGCCGTCATGCTGTGTTCCTTGAAGTACCGCTTGAGCGTGATGACCGAGGCTAGGTGTGACGACGACGATAGGCAGCTCAGGTACATGACCAGGTCGACGTGATTGCGGTGGTGATCGTTGTAGTCGTTGTATCGCAGCCAGAAGGAGATCATGATGGCGAAGCCCGTCAGCAGCTGTTGGTCTGCCAGTGACAGCATCACCCGGTCTATCATTTTGCGCGTCAAGCTGTACCGCCCCTTGACCTCCAGCCCCATACCCCATCGCTTGTGGATCTTGTTGACTGTTTTGGCTGGCAAGACGGCGTCCGAGGTGCCGTGGAGAATCTGATGCTCCGTCAGAAGGCGTCCGCCTCGTTGTTCATCACACTTACATCGAGTATGGCAGCGCAAACGGCGAGCCCTGTCGTCATGACCGCGGCAACCACAAACGCCGCAATGACCTGTTACTCAGTCTTAGAGCCGGTCCACGAAGTCTTCATGATCAGGGTAGTTACCCCAAGCCCAGCAATGTCCGAGTCTACTTGACATTTCTCGTGTTCGCCAGGAAGTGACGCAAAGTTGACAATCGGGAAGCCCATCCTGGTCAAAGGGACTGCGTCGAATGAAGAGGGCAATTTTTCATGTCTGCGTAAAAAGTCGATATTGTTCAATTATTTTTTTGGTGTGAAGGGACGAGATCAAGCCAAATCTAATATCCAGGTGGCAAGTTCGACCGCAAAACTGGCCCGAGTCGGATATAGAGGCATGGAGACGATCGATCTCCAACTGACGAGACCCGCGACGATGATAAGGGCACTGCAGTCAAAATCTTGGACCTGCCGCCTTCAAGGAATGATTTTCACCGCCTAGTAGTAGTGCGCGTGTATGGCAGCCGACCCGCATGTTAGCAGGAGTCCGGAGCTATAAGCTCACGACGGAGCTGGAGCTAGCCACGCGCCTCAGCACAACGGCTGGTCTTGGCCTCTCCAGCGGTGAAAGTGCAAGAGCCTTTTTATGCATGATGAAGCAAAAGCAGCAGTAGCCTTCTCTTCTTGTCACGGAATGGGAGAAGTTGGGAGTAGTTGAGCGGTCGAGCGCTTGGGGGAGAAGAGCGGCATGATCTAGCGCTCAAGTTGGCCTTCACCTCTACATCTTCTGCCAGACTTGTGAGCCACAAGCGAACATGGTACGGATAAGGCGGCGGTGCGCATGTGCGTGGTTTGTGGGTGCATTCAACATGTGGTTTCCACGAGCTTTATTCCGACTGCAATGGATTGCAAAATCGGCCGACAAATTCCTTTCAAAAACCTGCTTCTTGTCAGCAAAATCACACAGATCGGACACCCGCAAGTTACTCTCTTTTGGGAGCTACTCACCTGATTCAATTCACGGCAAGCCAAGCTTCAAGCGCAGTTGGACAAGAAATCCTTCCTAGTGATACAGCCTTGAATATCTCCTATGATACAAAGCCCCACTACCCAGAGAATCAGTCGAGATGTTGCCCGACCCAAGACTTGTCAAGACGAGACATGCGCGTTTCAGGTAATCATGATATAAACAGGAAGCGGAAACAAATGGACAAGAGAAGGAAATCGTGCTTGTTTTAGTCCTTGGCGGGAGGCTCGGGCTTGACGTCGGTGACGGCGGCAAGCAGCTGCTCCACGACTTTGCTTCCGCTCTTGCTGCCAATGTCCTTGATCTCCTTGAGCTTGGTCTCGGTCTCCTTGTTGGCCTCCTCCTCGGCCTTTTGGTTGCCGCTCGAGTGCTGCATCGCAGTGTCAGCCGTACACCGTCTCGTGGGCCTGGGGTTCCCGTGCTTGGCGTACCTCGGTCTCAAACTTCTTGAACTCTTCTTCCTTTTGCTTCTTGTACTCATCGACCTCCTTTTGTGCCTCGCTGCGGGCATCCTTTACACGCTTGGTGCGGTCTGCTCGGTGTCGTTAGACGTCAATCGACAGGGTCTAGCAATCGGTGCGGCGATGGGGAGGTAGCTTGGTACTACATACACTCTCTGGCTGCGAGACGTTAGCTTGTTGTCAAAATCGACTACGATGTATATGTTATATGACCTTTCTGGACAATCTTTTGCGCCTCACGCTCGGCCTATGGGTTACGCTGCTGTCAGCTGTGTTCCTTGTTGTCGATGTCGACTTGGCCCGGAGTGGCTTCGGAGCGACTTACGTCGAGCAACGTCTGGATGCCCGCGGAGTTCTGGGCAGACTGCAAAGACAATTAGCAGGTGTGACAAGTACTGGTGAGATGCCGGACTGACCATGATGGCGGCTGTGCGAGTAGAAGGATATGGAGAGTCGATTTAGAGAGCTGCGAGGTGGAGGGTGCCCGACTGTCAGGGCACGCCAGTGCTGGAGCTCGCGCCAAGCAGCTCCAAGGCGGTGAGCGAGCATAGCGGCCACAAATTTATCGCGACCTTCAATCCACCACCACCATCCTCACTCACGCCATGTCGACAGCATCAAAGTTGACGCTCGCCGGGACGACCCTTGGTGCCCTTGGCATCGTCCTCGGCGTGCACTTTCAGCAAAAGGCTGAGCAAGCTGTACGATCCGCCTCCACTCGCTCCAACATGACAAGCCTAACTTCTCGACAGGCTATGCACGCCGGCGTCATTCGAGATCTGGAGCAACAACGATTGAAGCGCGAGCGCCAACTCGACTTTGATATGCAACAGAAATTGGAAGAAGAATACCGGAAGCTTCAGACAGTCTCAGACAACAAACCCAGCGGCTAGCGGGATCGCAGCAAGAATTGAAATCGCATCCCGACATCTTCACTCATCCATCTACACGTTGTAGGCCAGAAATCGGTTCACCTCACTCTGGAAGGATCCTTATACCACAGGAAAGGCGTAAAATTTCAGGCGGGTGTTGCCTGAAGTCTAGATAAGAAACAATGGACCAGTGGCCAAGTTGGTCCAGGACCACTTCTCACTGAAGTGTATCATTCCACAGTTAAGTAGGCAAAATGGAAACGATTAGATTGGAATGTCGACTAGCCACACATGGTGCGATTCTTGGTCCATTTCTATTCTCACGCCCAAAGCAGAAAAGCAAACACACCCTACGCCTTTCCAGCATGATGCTCAAGCGGCTTCAACGCTTCGAAAAGAATGAGGAAACCGATTTCAAAATATCCGCCTAGCCTCTCATCTTGACGTCGGCGCTCTCGTCCGTCACCTCAAACTTCCTCTTGGCAGAGCCCGAAGCCTCCCCGTCGTCGATGCCGTCGCCCCATTCAACAACCTCCCATTCCTCCCTGACGCTACCATCCGTCGATGAGTAAACGCCCCGGGTTTTCCTGATCTTGCCCAGGCGACTGTCTTCGATCATGGTCTCGAACCACGGCGCGCCTCTTCCTGGTGTGACTTGTAGCGGTCCGAACTTGTCTGCGCTC